GTGACTGATGCCCTAGATTAAGTATAATAGGATCCACCAGACAACTGTGGTGACTTAAATTCGGATGCTAATTGGCAGAACTCCCTTCTGGCTGGCTGGCCTCAGTCCTTTTCTTAATGTTGAATAATTACATATAACATTTGCTAAACCGTTACAGGATGGGTAACAAGAATAGGATGTTAAATAAAGACACAAGCACTTGTTATGGCAAGTTAGGTCACCTAAAATAAAGATTAAATACAAACATTTTCTGCTAGTTCTAGGACTGGATGTGCAGTTTGTTGTTCTCATACAGAGGGAAGATATTTGGCCACTCCCAAACTGCTTGGCACCGACTTCAACAACAGCAGGACTACTCATCTACTTTTACATTGTCAAAGATTTCTGTCTTCCAGTGTTGAAATTAATTAGCACTTCTCCATTAAACAGTCTCCATTAGGGTGTCCTGTGGCTGTTTTTATTATCGGTACAACTTGAACAGGAAGCCGATAGGGTTTGTGTCCACCACCCTACAGACGCTGACGCGATGTAGAGTTGGGTGTTAAAATAAGATCCGGGGAAAGGAGAGAAACCAAAGGGAAAGGCATCGGCACACATGGCATTAGTGCATCACGGCTTTGGTAGTGAAGGAGGAATATTTCCTTCAAAGAGGGATACCATTTTTTCTAGTAAAACTTTAAAAGCAGAGAAATTATGCTTGGATTTTACTCGCCTTTCCATATATATGCAAGCACAAATAGGTCTTGTTTTGCCTCCATTGACCTGTCTGCACACACATCAATTAATTAAAAGAGTAGATCATTTGGTACGCACCCAAACAGTATTTGAGGGTTTTTTCAGCAAGGATAAATACATGTTCCGCTAAATGGTCTGATAAAAAGTAGTTTTCATTTTCATTCCAGTGCGTTTCTCTATTTTCTTTCACTTTGATCTTCTTGAAGCGAGATAACTGCAGCTGGTTAATCGATGCGCATTTATTCCCTTTCTGGTCAGATATCTGGTTTCTGTGAAAGATGCTGGGAAGAGAAGAGGAAGCGCATTGGGCTCTCAAATATTTACACTAAGATTGCAGTGACCTACATTTAGTAGTAATTCCCCTGCAGACTCTAATCTTTCTGTGCGAGGTTCAGTGACTTACAAATCCCTGCGCTTATTATTACCCCAATTAACTGCTTACCTTCTCAGCAATTAGGTGTTGAAATTAAAGCATTGACAGAGTTATTTTGGGTAATATTATCATCCTTTGGTCAGGTTATATTATTTTCTGAGGATAGGAATATTTGGAGGCAGCAAATAACAGTTACTGAATTATGCATCAGTTTGGAGCTGTGTAAAATTGACTTTTAAAGTAAAACCACGAGGACTTTTTCTGGTTGCTCCCGCCAAACAGCCCTGTGAGGTGTTTCCAGAGTTAGGACGATACTGGTCAGACCACCACGGCAAGCATTTCTGCTCAATGGTTAAATTCCAAGAGTTTTTACAGTCATATTTGGAAATTTTAAGTTGTTTTGCATGTCGTTATTACTGTTCTTCTGGTACTTGAATGCAAGAGAGAACTAGAGAAAATGTAACTGTATTGGTGCAGTGTGGAGCACTATATTAAAAATATGCATAAGTATGTATTAAATGCTTTAAATATTCTTTTTTCCTTAAAAAATTAATCATCATGGCAGTTGCTTTGACACATTTTTATATGAGCTTGAGGAAATTTGTATTTTGCCACGATTAATATTTCCCAGCAATCTCTTTATGACGTCCAGCAAATTAAGCTGCAGGAGGCTTTTGAAGTGTGATACATGCCGTTCAGCAGACGGATCTTCAGGATGGCCTTTCTTTCGCGGCCAGCTTTGATGATCTAATGGCTCTTTTTTATCTCTGTTATTCTTGCCTTGTGTTTGCGGAGGAACTAAAGTGTGGGGGTTTTTTGAAGTTAGGATACTGAGTTGAGCCAGCAGTAGTCTTATTTAGTGACTGCTCTACCTTTACCCAGATCTGTGGACAGCACCACGTGTTTTCATATTTATGCATTTACACAGAAGCCTGAGTTTGTGTCCCAGATGTATTTTTTCCTGCATAGTTGTTGCATATTGGGAGACACTTTCAAGAATACAGGCTGTGTCATTGTGACAGATCTTGTGGTGCTTTTTGCTCAGGTAGGAAAATCTGCTGGATTTGAGTTTGCACCTCCTCATTATGTTGGAATTGATTATAATTTTGTGTGTTCGTCGTTAAATGTAGCAAAAAAGAGAAGGGATGGCCTGTTCTGTAAATGCTAGAAGTAATAGTCAATTGACTCCCACGTTTAAAAATGAACAAAAAATACAAAACAAATTAGTGGGAGTCTCTTAAAGATGCAGTACGGTGTTTTGTAAGTACTGTTTAGCTTATTCTTGCTCTAATTACATTTTCTTGCCTAGTGTTTTAATGTTGCTGGTGTGGTTGCTTTCTGCGGGTGTGATGTCCAGAACATCTAGTCCTGTGTTTCTCTCGAGTGAACATTATGTGTAATTTTTAATATAGCTTCTTCAATAAGGTGTGATGTGAGAACTCAGAAGGGATTACAACAGGATTAGCAGAGGGTTTGGATCCTTTCTATTATTCTAGGCTGTGCAAGAACTGTGAGCAAGTGACTGATTTATGGAATAGCGTCTCACAAAGTGTCCTTTAACTGTGTTGAAACAAGAGCGTGTGGTGTTGAAATTAATGAGGTCTATTTGTGTGCACATTGTGGAGAGGAGGATTGAACCTTGGTTCAGACATTGTCTGCTCACTTTCACATTCCTATGCTTCAAGCAGTAGAATGTGACTGCTATTTTATTGAAAAAACAAACAAACAAAACCAACTAAACCCCCCAAACACCCTTTTTAAAATTAAAATAAAATATTTTTTCTCTTTTATTGAAAAAACTCATTAAAAAAATCTTGATTACTACTCTTAATTATTTCAGATAAATCCTAAAGGTTAAGGTACTGCATCAGTGAACTTGAAGAAACAGAATATATTCCTTTATGCACAAAGGTAACAAGTAAACTGGAAAAATATGCTATCCCTTTTTCAGCAGCAAGGAAGTGCTGTACCAGAAAAGCCGTATGTGAATATCCATTTCCATCAGTGGATGGAAAAACGCATTGATCAACCTGACTTCCCTCCCCACCCACACAAACTGTGGGCCATGGCCCAGCCCTCTCTGTGGCGACATGTAGCATCGTCATAGAGACAATTTTAATTGCCATGAGAGCCCACTGAAAAATTCTGCTACTGAATCTGCAGGTTAAATTAAAAAAAAAAATAAAATCATTCCGTGTTTTAAAATCCGGTTTTGACACTGGCTTAGCAAGTGATGTGTATACTTCTACAGTGAGAAAGGGATTTCTGGGCATTTATGTCCTCCCTGCTGAAGTCAGTGTGACTGAATGTTCTGTACCACGTGAAGTATCTTCCTAGGTCACAGAAATTCAAGGCATTTCAGCCACACTCAGATATAAGATCTTTCCTATGAAACTTCTTTTCTCAAAGGATTTCATAGAAAGAGAAGGAGAAAGGAAAATACTTAATAAGTGCAGGATCATGTCCCTGGCCAGGGCTAAGCCCATCTTCCCCCATGGTGCTCCCTGAGGGCTGCTCCGGGCAATGCGGGGAGCAGAGCGGGTCCTCAGCCCGTGCAGTGGAGGTGCTTTGGCTTTGTCTCACAGAATTATCCTGAGGATGATGTAGCCTGTGCCTGTGCAGCGTAGTTAGTTGTGGGGTTCCCAGCCCTGCACGGGTGGAGGGGATCCCCTTTCTCTGCCCTGGAGCAGAGCTCAGAGGTGCCTCTTAGCATTAACCTGCTACCCCGTTTGGTTTCTATGAGGGTTTCCCCTTTTTTTAAAAAAAAAAATGTTTATTTTAATTTTTGGTGACATTTTGATTCTCCAGCCTGTTTTAGTCCAGTATTGTAAGGAAGCAGTGTTTTGGTGATGGCTGTGGTGTCTGTACTCTCTGCCCCTCTCCTCCCCATCCCCAGTAATCCCGATTCCTTTGGCCTATTTCGTGCATAATTAACAGAGGAGTGGAACGTTAAACCCCAGCAACGAGGATATGGTCACCTCAACCCTCAAAATTATTTTGTGACCCACCAGCAGCTGAGACAAAGAACATTTTGCTTCCCAGAGCACCAGAGGCCATACCCATCAGGGTGGCCAGCACGTGCATGTTAGCTGGTTGGTGGCGAGATGCAAAGCATAGGTAGGGGACACAGGGATATGGATGGTGGCTAAAAATGCGGGATGGAGGTTGTTTAGTATCTTCCTAACCGTCTTTTATAATCCCCTTGGTTTTAATGAGCTGTGGCTTGGATCGTTTGTGTCTAGAGTTGTTTGCAAGACGCCTCGTGCATCTCGGTATCACATACCTCTCTTTTTTGCTCTCTTCCTCATTTCACGTGCTGCTCTCCCTCTGCGTTAATCTGGGCCGCTGACACGACTAAAATTGGCATCTGCAAATAAAACTTCATTTAACTTACTAATCGCATGCCGAATGCCAGTGAGGCAGCAACGTCACTTGAATATTCACAATTTTGCAGAATAGTGTTTATGATGGATAAAGTATGTTGGCAGGTCAGACCTAAGAAAGTGAGCTGTCCTCTTGCTTCTGGTTTCTTGATGTGTTTTGATGGAAGTAGAATTTCCCTTAACAAGCTCTCAGCCTCCAATTCTAATTTTCTCTGCTGACATGCATTTCTCGTGGATGTTTCAATGACATTTCTGCATCAGAAAGTAGTAAATTTTCTAATACAGCGCCTTAAAATATTGGTGGCAAAGTGCTGTCTTTATTTTCTCTCTGTAAGGGTAATATTGCTCTCTTGATGCTTACTGTGGATCTTAAATGTGTATTTTACGATTGCTAAGTTCAGAGTTGCTTGTCAGGGTGATTGCTGTTACACTTTAGCAGTGCACGTGATTCTAGTCCTAGCTCAGGACCCTGGTGCCTAGCACTACACCCAGAAAACACATGAGCTGAACACGTATTTAATGGTTCATTTCTTTGTATTTAAAAAAACAAACACACAGAGAGAACCTGCTATCCCAGCAGATGTTTCCATCTCTAAAAGTGCACTGTACTCCCGGATCAGCACCTCGGATGCAGAAAGCACCACGGCACTTCTCTACCCCCAGCAGGACTTAGACTCTGCGCTACGACTCGCCAGAGCAGAGGTAATTTTCTTCAGAATTTGGAAAAGGAAATACGTGCCCCTTGTGGTTTCCTTCTTTCCTGTTTTCTCCCAAATGATTCATGTTACGAACACTCGCTCTGTTCTTGAAACCGTCCTCAGCCACGCTAAAGCCGCTAGAGGCTACCAAAGCAAAAGGCACTACACTGTGAGTCTTACTTAGTGAAAAGCAGACATTATATGAAAATAAATCTTCATTGTTTTTAACCTCAAGTATACTCTGTGCATCTTCACTTTGCTATATAATTATACAAAAATTGTAAGATGCTAGAAGTAGGAATAAAATTGTGTATTTTACAAAGCTATAAATAAGATTAGTCTGGCTAACAACACCAATTTAAAAATGGGTACAATCGAGTGTTAGATTATTCCAAACTTCATGATAGAAGGTGTGAATGAAAGGAGCACAAAGGAACACAGTCCTTTGGGGATCGAATCTCATGGACAGTCAGCCCTAAATGTGCATGCAGAAGCAGTAGAACCCCTTAGAGGGCAAACCAGGTGACCACGTTCCAAACCCATGTGCTGAAGTACTTCAGGTTTGGCACCAGGTCAAACCAGACACGGCGTAGTGTAATATAGTATTTCTTGAAAAGTGTCCTTGTTATAATCCAGAATGAAACATGAAACAAGATCTTTGCATCTACTTTCCTAAGTTAGTTTTTCAAAACTTGAGTATGATTTCACGTCTGAACTTTTGTAATTGCACCTTGCAGTCTGAAAAAGAAAAAATCACTGGGGATGCTTATATTTGAACTCATTATGCACTTGAAAACTATACCTCTGATAATTAGGACTTGATATTATATCAAATATTGTACAGTCATTCAATTTCCACTTGGTTTTACTGTATTATTTTTTTCCTTTGCTTTCTCTGTTTCAGATTGTGGCCAAGGAAAGGGAAGTGTCTGAGTGGAAAGAGAAATACGAAGAAAGCAGAAGGGAAGTGATGGAAATGAGGTGGGTTATTAACTCGCCATTAGTCACACTGACAGGCAGTCTCATTTCAGCCTGTGGATAGCACACAGAGTGCCATGATTGTACAACAGGTTTGGTTAGCTGAATTTGTGTCGTTATTTTTAACTGCAGTCTTTGCATTGATCCTGAACTGATACAGAAGCTAGGAAACACCAGCAGCTCAGGAGGTGAAAAGGGTTCTCCACCACCAGAGTGGGACTCTGTGCCTCTTCACAAAGATGGCAGCTCTGGATTGACCCTAAACTGATGCTTTGTCTTGGCAGGCATCCCTATTCAGGGTAATCATTGGAAACTTCTACGTTGCTAATCGCTTTTACATCCTCAAAATATTGAGATAAGGGAGGTCTTAATCTTGGTTAAGGGAAGGGAAGAATTTCATCCAGTTTGTGCTGTGAATTCACACGTGGATTGCACGGTGATGGCTCTGTTGCCTGACTGAACGAGTCTGTCTGCAGAGCTGGCAGAGGTATGCACGTGCTGGTTGAAAATTCACTCTCCACAAATAGTTTTACCAACAGAAGAAAGAATGTGAAGGTTTGCAGATAGGTATGAGTAGCACAGGCTTTCTCCAGGACGTTATTGTAAAAAGTTTCTTTAACAATAAAAACCAAAAACCCAGTTGCCAGTAGAAGAACATGTGTTGCAAAGGAAGCACTCTGTCCTAGGAGTGTTGACTTTCAAGGAGATTCTACGCTCTTTTCTTTGAACTGAGTTGCTTTTTTAATTACTGCACACACTAAGCTTGATTTTAGTTAGTAATAGTTATCTTGGCTTTTGCTGCTCCGTTTGAGAGCTGACAGAAGGACTTTGATCTTTTCAGTTTATTCTAGTTGTATCTGTTCTATTTCTTCTTGCAAACCTGCCTCTATTACAGTAAATATCTGTATACTGGACCATAACTGGTGTGAACTTCCTTCCCAGCCCAGGTCCTACCACTTGCAAGGGTGACAACAAAATCTCTGTGGTGGATGAGGTGAGCGGTGTTGCTCAAAGAATCTTCCCATTTAGCCAGCTGAAAGTTTCAGCCTTTCTATTTTTGCAGTGGTAATACCGTAAGAAGGACATCTACCAGTGAGCTTGACCTGCTCATCCATCTGAATCTGAGAAAGTCATCGATTGCAAAAGAGAATGTATAAAAATGTTTCATGGAGTCTTTAAAGCCAATTACTTTCTACCTTCAAACAGACAGAAAAGCCATCCCCCCTCTCCGTTACTCATAAATAAAACAAAACTACCAGATTATTTTAGCATCCTTCTTTTAAGTAATAATTTCTGCAATCATTTCTGAGACTGGATTTTCTTCAAAACCACTTCTGTTCTAGCACCAGCTTCTTTCCAGAATTAAATGTCTCGGTGGTTTAAAGGTAAAGCCAATGAGCTGTATCAAGGGATGACCTGCACGTGCAATTCCTGCTTATATCCAGGAAACCTGTACTTAGGGAGTCAGGGTAGAAGGGAGCTGTGGTGCAGAACTCAGCAAGCACTAGCAGGAGTGCCGGGAGGTGCACATGGCAGATTGGAATATCGGCAGTGTAGGGCTTTGAGCCAAGGCATCTTAAGAGAAGCATCTGCAAAAGGCAAGGGCAGCCGCTCTGTTTCTTTCAGAAAACCATCTCCCAGTGCCCAGCTGAGTTCTCTCGCCTCTCTCGCGCTCTGCTTGGGAAAGGAAACAAAACCTTGGCGTAGCCCTCGTGCATAATGAGGCAAAACGGGAAAGGAGCTGCTTGCAAGCAGTCAAACCGAGGAGGCAAAACAAGGAACGGACAAAATTGGGGACTGTGTAAGGGTTGTCTCAGCGTTCAGCATGCACTCGAGTGTGGTACTTGGTCTATTCTCATAGAAATTGCCTGGGTGCATGTGTCTGCTGGCTGCAAACAGGCACTGACAGGGGCTGCTTGTTCCTTAATGGAAGGAGAGCAGGGGGTGGCACAGAGCAGCTGGCACACTGTAGATCTGTACCTTCATCTTCCTCACAGTAATTTGCTCATGCGTCTACACCCTCTATGTTGAAAAAAAACCACATTGTCTAAGCCAAATTTCCCACAGGCACATCCCTGGAACACGTGGTTGAAAAAAGAATCTGACCAATATTGTCACAAAATGCTAAAATACGCATGTGTGCACAAAAAAAACTTTCTCTTGGAAGATTAGATGTTGAAACAGTCCACAGCAATTAGATATGACATAATGGTAAGCAAGGAGTAAAGGGATTATCTAGAGTTGCAAGAACAAAAGCATTGCTTCTCACAGAAGGAGAAGCGATGCTCCTTTACCCAAGTCCTGCATACTCAACTGGAATATCCTGAGTTCAGCTAAGTTTCCAGAAAAATGTCCACTCCAAAGAACAGCCGCCAGGATGAGAAGTTATAATAATGTAATAGCTATCAAAAGAGCTAAACCAGGGTGGGCTATACCATAATCCAAGTGTACAGCCAGAGGCAGGCAAGAAATATTTAAACGTGGTTGTTTGGAGGTCTAATTGATTATGCCTCAGCAAGGGAAGTCAAGCAGATGACCTCTGAGATCCTTTGTAACCCTGGATTTTGGTGAGTTTATGACTTAGGAAATTGCAGGAAGTCAATATAGACTGAATATCGAAAATACCAAAAGTTAAGCCTATGCAGGATGTGAAGATGGGCTTAAGATGTGCCATCACAGCGAGGAATGATGTGGCCAGCATCCCTTGCTTCCCCAGCCATACTGATGGATATGTAGGCTGCTTGACTGAAAGAGGCCTTTGACGTGAATCTGGAACAAGACTTCACTTGACTGCCTTGCTTTCCAAATCGAATGTTGTGAAAACCAACGTGCCACTGCAGTGTCCACCTCTATTGAACAGCTGCCACGTGATTCATAAGGCTGGATAATGCACAGAATGTGATACCTACTTGAACTAGTCTAAGCCGGTAAAAATAACAGATAATGTTATTTCACTTTGCTGCCAACTCCCGAGGTGCAGCCTAGGCTGGGAAGTGCTGTAGTGTTGTCACAGCGTTTGATGTCGTGTTCATTGCCCTGAGTCTTTGGCTTCGTTTTCTAGGGTGATAAAACTTCCTAAAGGTGGCTGGTGTTACAAGGACGTGACATGGCTTTAAAATCCTTATTGCTTACAGTAGGCTTTTGAGGTAATCTTCTTTGGACATGAAACCAATCCCTTCCTTTTAGGGGAAAATCCTTGCGGCTATCTTTGCTCTCAGAAGTGTCATTTATGGTTTAAAAAAAAAAAAAAAAAAGAAAGAAAAGAAAAAGAGAAAAGCCAATTAAAACAACAGGACTGACAGCAGGGAAAGCAGCACCCGAGCAGATCCTGGCGGAGGCAGTGGCTGGAGACGCGGTGGGCTGTGCAGAGACGGGCTCTGGCCCCAGCTCCGAAAACGGTTTGTAGGTGCAGCCGTAACACCCCAGCTCCGCTGAGCACTCAGCAGGACCAGGGCCAGCGGGACACTCCTGACCTTCGGGGCCAGTGGCCTTCTCAGGGGTTTCTGGGGTCTGTGATTCCGATTTGAAACAGGCCATACTGGAGTTACTGCGTCGGTTTTTTGGGAGCTCCGCAAGTTTCTCCTTTCCTTACTGACTCTTGTCAGGATTTTCCTGCAACCTTTCTGTAACCTCACCAACTGCAGCAGACTTCTTTAAAATGGAGCAAGTGGACGCGAGCTAAGACTTCAAAAGCAACGTATTCAAATACCAGGGAGCTGTTTTGCATATCCACTTTGGATGAAGTGCGGGATAATTTTGTTTTCCATAGACAGTCCTACATGGCTCACGAATCAAAGCACAGATCAAGCTAGTCTCATTTCATTAGCTTTATTTGGCTCTGGGAAGGGATGGATCATCTTTCTAAATCACATTTAATCTGCTTATTTTGGCTAACCTCTTTTCAAGAAGGAAATTCAAAGCGTGCTATGAGTATATGAAATAAAACAGTCTTAAAAGTAACATTTTGCCACCTCTGTTTCAAAAACAGATTTGGGAAATAGGACGTGATGGATTTTGTGCTGCATAATTGGATATTTTGGTCTTGTTCTCTTAAGTGCTAATGGATCATTTGGAGAGTGGAATGTCAGATATATTTTGACTGAGGGCCAACTATGCTCCTGTTAGGTTTACTTGCTACCAATTATGCCTTTACTTAATACCTACATTAAAAATCAGCAAAAGCAAACATGGAGGAGAGGGGAGAAAGTAATGGAAAAATCAGACTCTTTGTTACTCGTGAATTAGATCAGTGTGATTATATTTAAATCATGTTTGGTTATGTACTGTGGGCACGTTTCAAAGAACAGGATTTGTTTCAGAGCAATGCCTTTTCCCTCTCCCCACCTATATAGGTTTCCATGGAGAATTAAAAATCAGGTGTAATGTTTAAACTGTCAGTTTTGTTTGTTACTCAGGTAACAAGGAGCATATAAAAGTGTGAAGGGGTTCTGTATCTCTTTTAAAATACCGTAGTTCGGTTATTGAGTAGCATTATTTTCTAACTAAGCATTAGCAGTTACGATGTTTGCCAAAAGCTTTTGTTTTTTTTCCCTCTTATAGGAAAATAGTTTCAGAATATGAGAAGACGATTGCCCAGATGATAGGTAGGTGTTTCTACTCTGAAAGATGCTCTCCTCCACTCTGATTTTCTGAAGAGCGCCTAGAAACATGGTTGAAGTCGGTGGGCTTCATTTTGATGCTAGCTACATCTGCTGACACCGCTGGGAATTGTGAATGCCTCTGGGGACACCAGTGTGTGCTGCCAGGTTTTGATGAAAAGCTAGGGCTTGGCTTTACAGAAGGTAGCCCCCAGGGCAGTCCAAGTATTCAGTCCAGGTCAGGGCTTTTTCTTCAGCATCAAAGCTAACTGTCCCATAGGAAACATGTTCAAATGCTTTCCCAGCATTCATGGGTATCTCCAGGAGGGACTTTCAATGACCTAAAAACCCTTTAGTCATCTGCTCCCAACTGTTTAATGGGAGATACCAAACTTAGCTCTTTACAACAACAGGGATTATCTATGCTAAGTGCATTGGTTAGACCAAAACCTAGATTAACTCCAATCCCATCTGAGAGATTATGAGTGGCCAATCCACCTCTCCAGATATTTACTGACATAGGGGTCTCCTTTAAGGTCTCAATTATGACATGTTTTGCCTCACAATAATTAGCAAACGCCTTTGTTAACAGCATGCCCCACAAACGAAAAACGCTGCATGCAGTAGCATTTCAAAACCAAAGCTTGCAGGACTCATGTGCTCCCTTGGCACAGGAGTTCTGGCCACTGGGATGTGATTTTAAAGCCTTTTAAAGTAAGATTGCCAAAGCTCTTTTTCTTAGTCTGGCTACAGAAAGCGCCAGTGGCTGGTGCTGCCCTGTACTGCTTCAGCTCCAGCTGTCCCCCAGAAAGGCTGAGCGGGGTCGTGGGTTCTCTGTGGCCAGAATTGCTGGGAAGGGCAGAAGCAGCAGTGGCTGATGAGAAGGCGGGACAAAGATCATTTGTAGTAGCTCAAGCGAAGCAGCAGGGAACTGTGAAATATTGTTAAAAGCCATTAGGAGTGGCCTCGGAGTTAAATCTGGGCTGCGAGGAGTGAGGCTAGCCTAACTGAGGATAGCTGCGAGCAGGGAGCGTGATGAATCCAGCCTGTTGGCACTGTTTATTGATCAGTGCAAAGAAAGAAACTATCCCTCTTACTGCCCCCGAGGGAACGGTCACAGAGGGTACAGTGTGCCGTGAACACAACCGGCGTACCTGTGTCTTTCTAACAGGTTTTTAACAGAGAAGGATGTTTATTACAGCTATCAACACATCGTATTGTTGCACCCCTTTTAAAATTGGCGGTCCCCTCATATACAGGCGGTGTCGTGTGGCCTCCAGATTGTTTCTCTTTTTTTCAACTAGTGCTCGAGCTGTGTTTGCACACGTTTGTAGCGAATCTGCTTCTTTTTGCCCAAAGAGAGTGGGGGGAAGTAGTTGGATGTCTGGTGCTTTTGCTGCCTTCCTGCATTTCTCAGCCACTGGGAGACACCCCAGGCTCCTTTCAAAGGAAGGGAAAAATGGGCCCATAAATAAGCAAATAAATAAATTTAATTATAATTATAATAATAAATAAAATAATTATCAAAATATATAATAATGAGCAACCATATATTCTATATATAGAATATATCTATTTCTATATATAGAATTCTATATATAGAAAAGAGCATATAGAATATAGAATAATAATATTCCTGGCTTCATTCTCTATGGTGTTATGCACTGTTGCCTTTTCTATGTACACTGAGCAAATTTGCCTGCCTTCTGACATAATGTCTGCCATTCTCATTGTGCAACTGTTAAAACAGGAGTGACCAGAATATGCAAAGAACTTAATTCATTTTCGTTTACTCTAAACATATCCTTGGCTTCGTCCCTGAACCTGGCCATTCATATGTACAAACACAGGACCTGTCCCTTTTTCCCAAGCATATGCCTGTAGTTAGCAACAGAAGTTTCTTTTTGGTAACAAATTCAAATTCTAGTTTTGAGGAACAGACAAAAAAGAAAAAAAAAAAGTCAAATTGTGAGTCCGCAGTGCAACAAGAAGGTGTAGAATAAGGGTCCTGAGGCAAAAGCACAGCCATATGACATAGATAGTAAAGTCTACAATTCCCTTTCCTCTTGTTGCAAAGAAATCAAGGATAATTAAAGCATCGGCCATTGACCACTGAGGAAATAGAAAGATCTTTAAGCTTCAAATTCAGAGTATCAGTCAGAGTCTCTCAAGTGATCTATGGCAAGTTGTTGAGAGCTATGGCTGTGTATAATGTAATTTGCTGTCCATTTGCACAGGAACTGAAACAACAACAGTGACACAGAAAGCATGTGTTAATTAGAGCAAATTCTAGAGCACGGCTAAATGCAAGGCTTCCTCTCCCTGCATTTAATGTAAATTTTTGATCTAATTGTCCCACTTTCTCCTGTCATTTGTTGTAAATTACTGTCCCTTTTGATAAGGGAATTCACTCATCCTAATGCCACGTTGTGGAGGAAGATGGCTGTCTGTGTGCTATTTGCATATACTTCGCTGAACTGTTCCCACAATAATGCCGTAACAAAAGAAATGCCTGTGGTGTTTCTCTTTGCGATTTAACCCTTCTGAGCTATTTACACAGCCCTGCTAGGGGAGGGCATTACACGCGAGCCAATTTCACAAATCCCCCTGATGAATATTCCGTGTGGTTGATAGGTCCCGCTCAGCTTTTTACAGGCTGCCATGTGGATGTGTGATGAATGGTGAAAATACTCCGTACTAACAATATACGACGGTGTATGTTGGCCTATAAAGGCACTGAAAACATGCATTGCAAACAGCAACTGCCTTTGATTTCAAGGGCTGTGGCAGACCTAGTGTTTGCTGCCACACACACACAGAACCCAGTATTACCCAACTCGGCTTATGCAATTAGTGTCATGCCACACTCTGTACAGCCAGAGCTGGCAAGCTGTCCGTGGATAGAGCCCTGTCAGGGTCTCTTTGCATATTTTATTACTGGTGCTTCAACCTTTTTTTCCTTCTCTCTTACACTTGCCTCAGCCCCTAACGCATTCTTGTTTGTGCTGAGGAGAGGGGAGGAAAATGAACGGGCTTTCCAGGCTAGCCTGCTGCTTCTGCTGCTGCTGGGCTGACCGCTGCCCGAGCGGTGCAGCTCACGGCTGCGTGGCACCCACAGCCGTACGGGACGGAGCCTGCGTCACCCCGATGCTCACTGCGCCCCGCCCTGCACACACCTCGATCACAGCCATCCACAGCTCCCTTCCAAAATCCCTCTCCCGGGTTCCCTTTTCACTGATGGATTTGTAATGCTGGGTTTCTTTCCGTTAAAAATGTTTCCTTGTGTGTTTAAATACATGATTAAACTCTCATTATGAAAAACAAACAGATGTTATGCTTTGTGCATTACAGGTTGTTGCATTACTTCTTTTCTGCTTTCCTAACAATTCCTGATTTTCTGTTTTGCTTCCGTTTTTGTTGCTTCTTGCTATTTGCTTGCAAAAACAAAACAGGCAAGCCTGGTAAGTAAAGCTTTTCACCAACTTTCACACCGGCATTTTGCATTTTTACTTTCTTTTGCTTTTGTTCTCCGTTTGCTGCATTCCCATTAAGTACTGTAATACTGAGCTGAGCCTGAAAGCAGATCTGCTGCGGTGCTGCTCTGATTCTGTCAATTTGGATAGTGTTAGTCCTGAGCATACTGTTGTTATTGTTGGTGAGCTGCGGACAGTGTGTGTTGCAGACGTGGAAGCCATTTAATTAAAATATTTTAATTGCATAACCTCATAAATAGCTTTAGAAAGAAGTTAACTGCTGAACTAAGATCTGGCTGGCAGACTATTATCAGCACAGTTCCACCAAGCAGCTTTTTCATTAAAGCTAAATCATAGTTTTAGAAAATACCACATCGATCTTCCAGTCCCCCTCCAGCCACACACCAGTTTCTGTTTTCTGCAGTTTTTAACCACTTTGGATTTAAATGTATCTTAACAGTTATCAGATGCCCCTTTCCTAAAGCTCACTGGAAACTTCCCCCCTTGACAATTTCTATGTCACTCCTCCAGTATAAATTCCTGGTTTCCCCTTGGAGTTTAATGAGGGCCTCAGCTCGCTCCCTGGTCCATGGACACCTCTAGCCTGTGGTGGAAGGGAGAGGTGAAGGGGAGCGCTGGGTGTCACCTACCCCTAATTCCAGTGTGCCGGTGGAAGTGGGGCTGGTGTTTGAGGAGCTGATCCAGCTGAGGAGAGAAGAGGGCACCGGATGCACTGGGAGGAACTGGAAGAGCTGGGTAGTTGTGAGGGAGTGAGTCATGAAATACCAACTTTATCTAGATTGCCCTAGAAACAAATGAGGAGGAAGTTGCTAAAATACCGCAGACAGCAGTCTCAGAAAAAGCAAGGTTGTGACATTAAATACATTTAAGTGCGTTACGTGATTGTGGAAAGGGATCCCTTCCTCCGCGTGGAGCTGCCACGACAGAGGTTTTGCCAAAGAACAGGATCCTGCCAGTAAGTGTTTTGGAATTAAGCTAGACAGTGTGTAATCTCCAGCGTGATTAAACAAATCTTGTGCTGGAACACAAGGTGACAACTTCTCAGATTTAGAAAAATAAACACAGGATGACAAATGGTTTTCTCATTTTATTTGAGAAGACATTCATTTTGACATTACAGAGGATCACAGAGTGTCTTTAAGAAGGCAAAATAGAAAAGAATGTTTATTTTTTTTGTGGAATGTTAAATGTTATCCAACTGATGTGGCGTTACAGGGCCCTGGGTTTCTCAGTTCTGGCATATCAAAGGTGTTTGTTCAACAGTAAAATAAAGGTGCTACAACTTCCAGCGCTGCAAATTAAGTGCAGGTCCTGAGAGCTTCTCTGGTTCTTTGGATCTTCTGCATCACACAGAGCAAAATAACCTCAGGTTAGGCTCTGCCCCAGCAATATGCTGTCAGGGGGCGTGCAGAGGAGCACAGAACACAGCCAACAGGAGCTGGCACGCGGCGTGGCATCGTCGCTGCGCTGGGCTTAGGCCAGCAAAAAAAGTGTATAAAAGTATTGAATATGCAAAAGGAAGAGATTTATCTCAGTTTGGGCATTGACAGTATCAACTTTGACATTTCAGAGCTGACCAGCGCTATGAAATACTTAATTCAGATGAAGACTTCTGTTCAAATACAAAAATAAACTCTTGTTTAGTTCTTTATATTTCGAAATATAAAGGCCTGAATGAAAACGTGTAGATTCTGGAACGCCCCGTGCCTTTTGATATGGGAGAACTTCTTACCGTTTTTTTTTAGTTTCCATCGTAGACAATGGTAGTATAAAAGACAAATGGTAACAAAAACCTGCTACGTGTTGTGGGTTGGTTTTCACTTCAGTGTAATTCGAAGTAGCCCTCAAAACATGGAGGCCAGAATCATATTTTAGGATATGAAGCGAACAATGAAGCATTTTTGAAGACAGTGCCAGACCTTTTCTTCCAGTGTTATACGGGTATTCCAATTTATTACTAGGTCAACTCCTTTGCAAAGTTCTCTTCCATACAAATTTGGATTCCTGTTGTGTTCTGTGTAGCATCCCTGCCTCAAATTTCACTGTACGCAGGAGAAGCTTGGAAGATGTTTTCTGCAGACCAGAACTTAGAAAGTATGTCTAATGTTAGATTTCCTTTCTGACACTTGCTACAGTAATCCTAAGAATGAGAGTTTGCAAAACACTGTTTTTCCAAGGGAAGAATTTGAGTTGAATTCCATTAAACAAAGTGCCTTGTTTGTACAGGATTAGAAGAGATGCCAGGAGGTGACAAGCATATATAAGCAATGGCAAATAATTTACTGCCACTGCTGATAATATGCATAAATGTCTTTTCCTTCAGCTAGTGCATCTTCAGGCAAACAAGGGAAGTTCAACACTTGCCTTTTCATGGGAACAGCTGCGTTCAGAGGGAAATAGATCATCAGGACAGAGATATATTCACATTTTCCCCCACATCAAAATATTTAAATATCACTGTATCTAGCAACCTTTTTCCAAAACAGGATTGTGTCTTTCTATAAAAAATTACTTTTGTGGATCCCACAAACTTACTAACATACAGGGCAGAGCCCAGTATATAGAAACTATAGATCATAGTGAAATCAGTGTTCTCGCTACTATTGCCCTTCTGAAAATAGCTTTTCTTTCCTCCCCCTCTCTTGTTTCTAACAGAGGATGAACAGAGAGAGAAATCTGTCTCCCATCACACTGTGCAGCAGCTGATAGTGGAGAAGGAACAAGCTTTGGCAGATCTGAACTCAGTGGAGAAATCACTGGCAGATCTTTTCAGGAGATATGAAAAAATGAAAGAAGTACTGGAGGGGTTTCGGAAGGTGAGTCGTGTTAAAGTCCCCTCCTTTAAAGAGCAAAGCTGAGCCGGCTCTCCTGTGTACCGGTGCTGCTTAACTGGGGGCACGTCTTTGTTTCCAGTTGAATCTGATGTACTACATGAGACGGTGCTGTGCTGGGGGGGAGGGAGAACACGGATGCTCATTTGTGCTTTCGTTTTGGCATCGCTTTCAAAAGATGAGGATTTTGCCCAAGAGTAACTCGCTCCCATCGGTGACACTGTGATTTCAATAGATGTCACGTAACTGCAGGGCTTGAGCACGTGTCAGGGCTGGCTGCTGGACTGAGCGTTCTGTTAAAACCCAGGACGTGAATTCCTCGGGTCAGAGGTTGTGTCTAAAGTGCGTGACATAACGTAATCCTCAGGTGAAGGATTGCAGCCACGTACCGAATGCAAACAGAAGAACTGTGAAGGTTTTTTTGTGTTGTGTAATATTGCTTCAGATGGCCTCTGTGTGGGGGTGTCGGTGTTAGACTGCAGCCTTAAGATATCCAAACGTGACTCCTGCAAATAGTGCCTGTCCTACATTTCAGCCGCTTGGATTAAATTTAATGTAATCTTCTCATTTAAGAATGAAGAAGTGTTAAAGAAATGTGCGCAGGAATATTTATCACGAGTAAAGAAGGAAGAGCAGAGGTATCAAGCACTCAAAATTCACGCTGAGGAAAAACTGGACAGGTAATGGATAGTACACATCTCTTTTCAGGAGTTCATGCTGCAGGAGGATTCCTGTGGCTGGACGTCACATCCCAAACCTGCTCCTTCACAACACAAGCTATTCTGTGATGGGAGGGCGGAATCAAGTGTCATAATGAGAATTTCTGTCCCATTCTGGTGTTTCTTCCAGCTCCTGACCTTATAGAGCACCTTAAATTTCTGTCTTTATCGTATGTCTTCATGTTCCTTTAACATAGTTTCCAGGGAAGATCAGGAAAGCAGCCGTTAGCTGGGTGTATGCAGCTATGGAGGGCTGTGCTCAGGTATTGGCACCGGCAGCCACTATTCCTGCCCCCAGAGATTTGCTGTTGCCCCTTGCTGTATTATTGCCCCTGCAGCAACCAGCAGAACAGAACATAAAAGTTCTGCTCGGCTGCTTCGGTGCAGAATCGGTCAGGCCGTCTGTCCCTGGAAACACCGGTTATCTAAGCTGGATCAGCCCAACTTGTGCTGAAGGTGACAAGGAGCAGTTGCACAAAAGATCGTGCCAGACGTGCACAGACAGTGACTCCTTAAGCCACCGTTAAGGAGCAAACATCAGATTGTGGCTTAAGAGAGGCAGCTCTGGCCTATTTTTTTTTCATTTCTAGGGATTACATTCAGGACTCATATTACAGTCCCTTAGACCCAAGAGATGTTTCCAGAATGTCACTAGGATCGATCAGTGCTGTCTACATTTAGCCTGTATCCAGGACTAAACTCTAACACTTGCCCTGTTGCCCGATGACCCCTCACCAACCGGGGAGGGGAATTGGGAAGTGGAGAGGAGACCCATGGGTGGAAGTGAAACAGATTTAATGAAACAACGGCAATGCCCACAGAGAGAGACAGAGTTATAGTCAGCCAAACGAACATGCGGCGGTCACAATTGACAGGAGAGCAGTCCTGAGGAGCAGGGAGAGGAGAGACTCCAGCAGGAACCCCACAGGAGCTCCCCTTCCTCAGCAAACCTTCCCCCTTCACCATCAGCATGACCTGTAGCTCGTGCTGCCCTGGCTGACTGGAACTGCTAACGGCCATGGCTGGGCTGGGATTCTGTCCCAGTCAAACCAGGACAAGTGTGTAAACCAAAGTAAGACTTGAATTTGCTTTCCAGCTCTTTTCCCAGTTGTAAGTCTAGTCTGTAGGAACTGGAGATCAGGTTTTGCGACTGCCACAAAACATTTCTCCCTAAGTGGTATTTGTGACCCCAGCTCAGATACCTGAGAGAAGCATGAAGGGAACGACGCAGACATTAAGAAAAGACTTTGCAGCCTCTGCTGAGCAAGAGAGGGAGTCATGAGAAGTCCCTAGGGACAAGTCTCAGAATATTTTCGAAGACTTGCAGAAAGTAGCCCTGCCCTCACCGCCCATCCATTAAGATGCAGTCCACCCGCCGTCCTTTCCTGTAGAGAACCTGATGAGTACAAAAATCTGTCTTTTTTCTAGAGCCAACGCTGAAATTGCACAAGTGAGAGGCAAGGCTCAGCAAGAGCAAGCAGCGTATCAGGCCAGCCTTCGTAAAGAGCAGCTGAAAGTGGACGCATTGGAAAGAACACTGGAACAAAAGGTAAGCAGCAGTTCAGCTCTTTCAACGCAGAAGTCAACGGGGTGACCGAAGTTAAGCGAAACTTCCCCAGAGTGGCTGCATCCAGCTCTCCTCTGGTGCTCAGACGGCAGCCGAGGTCTGCCTGAGGATCTGTCTTGCTCCTCCCATCCAGCTGGCCTGGCAGCTCCCCGGCCCGGGGAGAGCAGCACTGCCCAACCCTGGTAACACAGCCCGGCGTGCACCGGGCGGATTGGGGAAGTGGAGCCGTCTGCCAGGCTTTGGTCTCGGCCACGGGCCAGTGCCCAGGGCTGATCCGTAGAATCACAGATTGGTTTGGGTTGGAAGGGACCTTAAAGACCATCCAGTTCCAACTCCCTGCCATGGGCAGGGACACCTTCCACCAGACCAGGTTGCTCCAAGCCCCATCCAGCCTGGCCTTGAACCAGACTCGGTCAAAGCTCAGCGAGCACCGGTGTACCACGCAGGGCCCTTGGTTTGCTTTGCCTCTTGGGTTTAAGGTCTTGTTTTGGTTCTTCTTTTGTTTTTTGTTTCCATTTTTGGTTTTAGCTGTAATTCCAGTGCTAGCTTACAGGCCTCCACTGTGGACACAGACAAAACGATCAGGTACAGACCTGTATGGCTTTGGGCAAGAGCGACCGTAGGAAATCCCTATTTATGTCTCGCTTTCACTAGCTCGGCAAAGGAGCTTGCTTTCAGTGTAGTACAGCTCGTCCTTCCTTAGAGCCCCTGGAAAACAGGGCAAAAATAATGCTATAAAAATGCAGCCTAGAAACAAGTTTACACTTGTGTATTATTAGCGTGTGCTAGGAATGACTGCTGTAAAGCTGTCTGCTTCAGTGCTAAATTGTATTTACTGAAGTCGGAGGAGCTGTATGTGGAAATAAATAAGCATATTGCTTGAATGCACCATAGGTAGCTGTACTATGTATGCCTATAAATATCTATATATCTCTCTATATATGTATAGATATTCTGTTCTCATTATTGGAGAAAACTTAATTGTCCCACACTTCTCCCAAAGGTTGGATAATTGGGGAAAAAAAAACACCTCATCTTAATGCAACAAAATTTTTCGTAATACTTAATATAGCTTTTTATTTTCCAGAATAAAGAGATAGAAGAATTAACAAAGATTTGTGATGAACTGATTGCCAAAATGGGGAAAAGCTAACTTTTAACCAAATTTCTGGACTTCGATACTGAGTGCAATATGACCATTGGCACACTGATGTCCATACATTTACATGGACAGGTTATATTTTCACTTTTTCGTATGCACTACTGTATTTTCTTTCTAAATAAAGTTGATTTAATTGTATGCAGTACTAAGATGACTATCAGAATTTCTTGCTATTGTTTGCATTTTCATAGTATAATTCATAGCAAGTTGATCTCAAAGTTCCTGTATCAGGGAGATTGTCAAGTTCTCTAAGAAATTACAAATTGCTGATCCTAGCCTTCCCTTTGTACATGAGTTCCCATGTTGGATGTCTTTTGGATTTAATATAAACATGTATTACTTGCATGGGGACTCTTGCCTTAAGGAGTGTAAACTTTATCTGCATTTGCTGATTTGTAAAATAAAATTAAAAATGAAAAAAAAAAATGAAAATGCATGTCACTTAAATGAAATTCTCTATTGTAAATAAATTTTTTCGTTGAAAGTTGAAGATAAGTATGGCTCTGTTTATGTACTTCACTTGCTTACTTCACGCACAGCGCCAGATACAGCAGCTCTTATCCATGAATTCCTTCGCAGAAAGCGCTGCACAGGTCGCTGCTTGGAGCACTCCGTGGGTCACAAGAAGATACCACTGATGTGCACGTATTATCTATGTCTGTACCTTTCTCTCTCTCTAAATACATATATATATATGCTAGATATGGACCACCCAGCTCTCAAGCGTAGCCTTAATCCTTCGAAATGTTTAATACTCTGACCCAGATCCAGCAAATCCACAGGCAAACGTAATGAGACTGTTTGCATGAGCTGGAGGCTGAGACATGCGATGAGGGGCTGGTGGGTTTTAGGCATACTGGCCACTGAAAGGTGAATATGTTTCTTCTTCTCGCTACTGGAAGAATTTGCCTGCAAGGTTTGTGGAGGTGAAGCACGTGTGATTAGAAGTACAACCAGAATAAGCTAGATAAGTAGCATTCTCGCACACCTCTTTATCCTTTAAGTTATCCTCTGCAGAGGATTAGGTATGTAAGATAAGCATTTAAGCTTTGATAGCAAACAAACTGCTTTCTTTGCCTAATGGTACAACTCTTGTATCTCCATGATGTGGACAGTCTTCAGCCTGGTTCTTGTCAGCTCCATTTTTGTACTCAAAAGTAAGTCAAATCCCTTTTCTTTCCTTTTTTATTTCTTTTTCATTTCCTACCTCAGACACGGTTGAGCCTCTTTGCTGTTCTGGGCTTCTCTCCTGGGTTGGTTTGGTTTCAGATTGTTTTGTGTGTGTGGTTAGCAGCACAGAATTTCACCTCTGCTATGTAATGTAAACATAACTATGTGTGGTAACAAATTTGAGTGAACATGTCCCTGTGGACAGCAAGTGTGCCTTCTGCTTTGCAAGCTTGAAGTATGGTATCTTAAATATATTTCAGATTCGTGCCTGACTTTGAAAATACCATGTATTAAGACATACTGTTGTGCCTTCCAGCTGAATTGATACTTTGTGGGAAAATGAAACATGGATCATAGTAATACTTCATGTGTTTACAATGTACTACTCCATGGTACTGTGGACCAAAGATCACGACAAAGGGGGTAAAAAACAGGGTGCTCCAACTTGTCACAGAGGACTCTGCTCTGAAAATGTTACAAGAAGGTGTGGATGCAATTAGAGATGTTCTTGGATTATTTTAAAACAACTAAGTAATATATGGCTGGGGGTTTTTTTAATCCTTAAAATCAGTATCTAGACCACTTCTAAAAAAGGAAAATTGATAGGATTCGCAGAATCCTTAGGTTTTTTTAAACCTTTTTGCCATTTTTTGCATGTCCTTCGAACAATATTATGAAGACTGTGTAGCTGATATTTTAAGATACTTTTTGCAAACTCTAAACACTGCTGTTCTAAGTGGTCTTTTTTCCCTTCATGCCAGGCGAAGCACTGCAGTGTTACACCTGTGTAGGTTCTAGTGATGAAGACTGTAACAGACAAGGAACTCAGCAATGTCCAGGGTATTCAGATGCATGTGCGGTCATTAGAGGACAAGCAAGTAAGTAGTCACGAACAGTTCAGACTCCTTCCATTTTTAATAATAGAAATAAATAACCAGTGTTGGAAAGTGAAGAATATATAGTAAGGTAGGGAGAAAAACAAAGGTAAATGTTTCCACTCAAAATAAACCCTATCAATATATCTTAATCCCTAATTTTATTGCTTTAGCAGCAATCTGATACAAAATCCCACTGTGATTTGTCAAAATGCCACGATGAGCCGTGCCCACACTATGTAAAAAGCATTTTAAGTACTGCCCACTTCTTACTTAAATCTGTCGGTTTTAAGTTAAATGCCTTTACCTGGGAATTGGGAAGGAGGAGAAGCTAACAGGGCACTGCACTGGAGCACAATCGGAGATCCTTACGCTGCCTTTAAGATAAATCACAGTTATTTAAGTGGGAGCTTGTCGGGGTGCTGTGATCTGATGCAATTACATGCATTTACTTGTAAGGAACGGCCAAACCTGATGTTGTTGCTCAGGGGAGGCAGAGAGGAGTGGGTGACCACGAACCTGCGGGTCCGTCTGGGTTCAATGTGGCTCTGTTCTAGGTGGCATCATGAAGTCCTGTTCGTTCAGGTCCTTCTGCGAGCGGGCAAGGAGGGACGGATCCAGAGCGCCCGGGGTGAGCGTTCACTGCTGCTACTCGAACAACTGCAATGCAAAAAGCCTGGCCTCAAGAGTCACCACCTCCGCGAGCTTCTCTCTCCTCGTCTTTACATTGCTCTGGCACCCACTGTTGAAGCTGACATGAGAAGGGGGGAAAAAAAGGGTATCCTGAAGCAACAAGTCTGCCTTCTTAGAAAGGGATGGTTACATTTCCTCACCACACTACTCCATGCACCGTATTTCTCGGTAGGCAAAAAGCAGTAGGCAGACCTGAGAGATGTTCAGATAAAAATATTTCTTGAGCTATATGTAAGAAACGCTGCCCTCTTCTCATTTATTGTAAGGGGTCGATTGTGAGAACATGTAACATTTTCCTATAATTTAGATAGTGTGTATGAAGAGATGGAGAAATCTTAGCTGCAAGTAGCCTTGTAGTAGGGTAAAGGACCAATATCTTCCAAATGCTGTTTACTGTTGGCAGACATTCAGCTAAAATTTTCAAGCACAAAGTGGCTGAAAATTCTAGCAAGCAAATTAGTCTTTTTTCAGAGAACATTTATGAACTGGACAAAGCCAGAAAACTTGAAATAAAGATGATTTAATACTGGTACAAAGAGGTAAGAGAAGGTCAATAAGCAAACAATGCATGGAGGTATGTTATATTATGTATAATTCCTGGAAAAAAAAACCCTTCCAATCTTCTCTTTTCTGCTCCTTTGAGAATCTTACCACAACACTGGAAGAAGAAGGAGAAAATAACCCAAGCTTGGAATTTGTTCTGAACTGGTAAGCTCCCTCCGAAGATCAGCTCATTCTATCTCTGCTGCTGGTTTTGAGAACAAGTGATTAATCCCTGTCTTGCAGGCAAATTATAACTTGAGTAATAACATTTTTGTTTGTCCAAATTCTTGTGGTTTCAACTACGTAGTTAATTCTTCACTGTCCTAAACTTCATTCTTTGAGAGTAAGAGTATCTATCTCCCGCTTCAATGAGGTGATCGAGTTGATCTATGGTGGTTTATATATTCTTTTCTTTTTGCAAAGTGAATGAAATTACTTGGAGATCTTTAGAGATGTAAGGAACTAAGTCAACATTTTTAATAATCCCATCCATTGCAGTTATACCCAGCAAATGATCCAGAATGGGCCACATCGTGGAAGGCATTGTGCATCACTAGCTGGTAGGCAGACAGTCCTTTAAAGTGGTTATGTTGACACTAGGCAAGATGAGATGTGACATAACACTCGATGTGACAGCACTAGGCAGGGTCTTGGGTCTGTGATACTGGAGAGCAGGGTGGTACCTCCTTTGATTCAAAACTCGGAAGGACGGAGAAGCAGATGAGTGATATTTTAATGTCCAACTGTGATGATCTGGTCTAACCTCTGGTGTGTAACATCCACAGGGCCGGCTCAAAGTCCAGCCGGTGTAATTGAAGTAGAGGTGGTCTTTTGAGTTTAAGTTTTAGTTGCCCGTTTGGAAAAAGATTTGGTTGTCAAGTTTATGGAACTCACAAAACACGTGGCAAAGTAGTATTTCTGCTAGCTTTGTGTTGTGACTTTTTTTCAGTATAATTCTTTGAAAAATCAGTTCCAGGCAGCGTGTGATAGAATTCTGCGCATTCACAGGAATTTTATTAAGGCTGCAAACTCTAGGGAGCTTCTTCAGGTGAAATCAGTGGAACCTCCACGTAGTGTATAACCCTAGCTTGCCTGGTAGCTGTTGCCTGTCACATGGACCAAACTGTCTCCCTGTTTTATTGTACTCTTTCCTCCACATGGATCCTTTCATCACGTTGTGTAGATTGTGGCTTCAGCCTGGGACTATTCTTCTGGGCTTTTGTTTGAACGGGCTCTCAGACAAGGCAGTTCTGGTCTATGCTTAGTTGCTAGGCACGAGTCTGATAAAGCTGTTGAATATAAAGATTGCAACAATGCAGCAGTTCTTGGCTGAGAATGTTAATTTAGACTTAAATATCTCACCTGTGTAAAAGTCACTTCAGTTGGCTTAAGTATTTTTCATTTCATTCTCAGCTTGAATCAGTTCCTTCAATCTGTTCTGCTACAGAAAACACGTATTGACTGCATCTTTCTTTTCTGATTGTTCTGTAATGATATGTCTGTATCGAACGTAATCTCTGTATATGCTCAGTGCATTTCCTTAATGAGAAAATAAAATACATGCAATGGCTGACAAGGTCTCTTGATAAACAAAACTGCATCTTTCAAGTGGGATTTCCAGTTGCATCTGGCGGTCTGTTT